GTCTTCAGTCACTCAGTTCTCCATTTTTCCATATTCAATTAAAAGAAAATCTACAGCTGAGTTCATTTAAAACAGAGTTAATTTTAAAAACTAAGAGTGAGGGGAAATTGCTTAGAAACATTCAAAAAGTTACTATTCCAAGACTACGGGATAACAGTGCTATCAAAAAAACCCAAGTTCAACCTTGGAAACTATTCCCTCCTTGTTATCCTTTCCTTGTTATCCTTTCCTGTTATCCAGTCCTACAGCAATCCTGCCATTGATTCAGCATCAAAACTAAAATGGATGCAAAATTCAACATCTGGGCTTTGACTGGTTTTGCAGCAGCAGGTCTCTACCCCATGTCCCCAGCTCAGGCTGTGTCACCTTTTGGGACACAACCTGTCCCAGAACCTTGACTCCAAGTTCTCATGTGAGGCCATCCTTCACTTCTCCATGGGGAAAGTCCTTCTGGGTTTGCAGGTATATTGCCAAACACAAGGGGATCAAGTGGACTTACACACTTTAGGTGCAAGGCTCTGGGTTTCAGGCTGTAGTTCATTTTTCCCACTGTCTCATTCAGCCCAGGTACAAAACTTTCTTCTTCTGAAAAGTACAGCACCAGAAACCATCACAGATTATTATTATTATTTCCTATACATACAGCAGTTTAATACCCTCTGGGACAAGACTCCCCAGAGACAGCTTAAAAAAGTATTGAAAAAGACCTTCCATAAATTCACACTTTCAAAATCCTAATTTATGTATAATGCTTCAAATTTTGCACATCTCTCTCTACGAGGAAAAAACCAGCACAACACAGAAAATCGCTTCTGCTTCTGCAAATTCCCTCTCCTATACAGTATTCAGATAACAACCTCATCATGTTATCATCTAAAGCATACACTCCCTCCTTGCAGTACTGTTCTTCATTTAAAACCTCATAAAAGATTATAATTATTTTAATCAAACAAGCAGGGTAATACATGAAACAGATGTAGGATCCAATCCACCTAACTTAGGTGCTGAACTTGTGCTACAGCACAAAGAAAAGAGATTCCTTCACCTAAGCTGCAGACATCAACTGGATGGTGCAGGCACAAAGGAGGCGTTTCAAGAGAAATCCATTCTCTGCCTAATTCTCTGGAGACCTTCATAGCCACCCACTGACTTCACCAACTAGGAGGAGAATTTATGGACTCAAGTCAACACCAACACTTCAAGTGCCTAAAATATAGGAATAAGTTAGGAGCCCAAGTTAGGGAGAACAAATCTCTCCTAGACACTTTTAAAACCCTTCTAGTTTTCTTTCTGGGCTGCAAACGAAGTCTTGCCCCTTACTAAAACTTCTCCTGTCACCTGAAATATAGATGTACACAGGAGAATACAGTGGGTGGAAATCTAATTCTAAGTTCCCATGCTTTCCCTTGCTGAGACCTTCTGAAAAATGTTTTCTTTCAAAACCAATGGTGACTAAAATGAGGGCATGCATTCTGTGTTGTTGCTCCTGCAGAAACCAGCCAGTCAGCGCCACAAACACGACAGCATAATAAAACATGCTCCTCTAATTACACTTTCCAAACTGCTTGGATTTTTTAGAAAGACAGAATCAAAATGTGCCATATGCACCACCCTCCTGTTATAAATGTGATGAAAAAGACAGTGAAAAGGAAAAAAAAAAGCTCTGAATGTTATTATCGCTGTCCTTCTGGGCCTCCTGAGCCCTCCCTGCTTCCTCCTGCCAACAGCTCAAACCACCTCACGGTCCTGTCAGTAGGGCAAAGACATCGCCTTTGCTGCACAGGGAAGCAGCAGAAATGCAGGATTTTTCTCCTTGAAAGCTCCTCAGTCTAAGTGAGGAGACTGCCCCACAGCCACAGGATTGGAAAGATTCCTGGTTTCTCCAGACCTCGAGCAGGATAAACAATGGGCTAACCACACGTGGCAAGTCCTCCAAGGAAACAGCACCTGTGGCCAACCACAAGTTCCAACAATCCCAAAGCTGAGGTGACTTAAATACCACTTTAGGTATGACTGATAGCATTTTCCAGCAAATTAAACAACTTTACAGAAATATTTCTGACCAACACTACCTCTGAGCAAGATTACATGGAGTCATTCAGCAGTCACAGACACACTTCTTCTAGGCTATTTTCATTAAAGTTTTATTCTGTTTATAAATCAAAATAAAATATTTCCTGCTGCCACTCTATACAGTAATCCATTGTTTTATTTTCTCTAGGGAGGTCCTGGCACCTATGAACAATAAAGACTGAGGAGCTTTAGCTCAGCTAACTGCTCCTTCACTGCACACTACGGAGCTGAAAAACACATTTACAGACCTGTAAGTGCATTTACCCTGAAAAGCAGAGGGTATTTGCCATTCTTACTTGGCCCCTTGCTAATATTTCTCATTGCTTTTTTAGGCACTGAGATATTTTTCACAGAAAATATCTACAAAATTTAAAAGATAAGAGGATTGTGGCAGCAGGAAATGAGAAGAACTGAAAAATATCTTGCATTGAATGGTATAAAAGTTGCAAAGTGGCCCTTCACTCTCCTCCGCCTGTATCTGCAAGGAAGAGCTCACCTCTCTCAAGCTGCTTCTACTCTGAGGTCCAACAAGCCACAGCATCTCCAGAGGGGGAGAAGTTCAGGTAAATAAGATATTACAGATATGTACATTTATTTTTAAGCAAGACATAAATTGGGTCAGCTCCCTGGTTTCAGTGTGACCCACAGTGACACAGAACACGAGCATTTTTTATCAAGTCCAATCATCTGCTTCTGTGCTGCAGCTGAGAGACACTGATCTTCCACACAAACCTAACCCAGCTTTGCCTTCAGCAAATCTTGTATTTATGGTTTAATTATTTTCTTAAGTAAACGTCTCACTGTCTCCTCTTGGGCTTGTCCTAATAGCAAAGCTAAATGCATCCTTTTGATGCTAACCCATATTTTTTTCCTAATTGTATCATCTGCATCCACTAGGAACATTTTTTCCTCATCCAATATGTCAAAGCACGTAGGCAGACTCCCCTGAATCACTGATTTTTGTTTGTTCAGGTTAGACTAAAAAATTAAATGTTTTTACTCTCTCTGTGTGGTTTGTACTCTCAAGACACTACAGCATTTCTTTACTCTTCTTTGAACCCTCACCATCTAAGATATAACATATGCTGTTAGATAGCTAACACATGTATGGGTTCATCCAGGGTTAAACAGGATTGACTGAATTATGGACACTGAACACCATAACAGTGATCTTGATCAATCTGTCTATTTTTTAAAGTTTATTTATTGCCATATGAAGACAATTCTCTCTTGCAATTTTGCAGAAATCCTAAGAGACAGAGTAAGTGGTTCCCATATGCAACTTTCTCTTCTTTAAGTGTGATTTTGTGATGATTTTTTTATGTTTCCCAATAATATCACTGAAAACAATTTTGCTCAATTTAAAGTAGTTGAAACTGTTTGCAAACGTTAAATGGATATTCCCATTTACACAGGAATTTTTGCTTTTATTACCATACAAATATATTGCCTCAGAACCATTCAAAGCTTTCCTCAGAATTTGTACTTATTTTGAAGTTGGGCAACTGGAGACTTTTTTTTGCCTCCCCTCAAGAATTTTAGTTAACTATGAAAGGAAACCAAGTGAATTTTAGTTCTGGTTAGGCAAAAGTGGAACAGTAAAAACCATAACAAATGATCTTCTGTTATGGGAGCAACCCTTCCAAACTGCACTTCCCTACCAGATATTAACATAATAAATAATTAACTCCTTTTTGAAGGGGGACAGGCAGAGAAATATTTACTCAGGATGATATACTCTGAGGAAGCATCTGGTTTACAATCCTGCCCTGCTTTTGCTCAGTTTTATAGCTGACCTGATCAAGGCTGGAGGAGGTCAGTAACTTGGCTGAGGTCAAATTAGCTCATTGAGTTTTGCCTGCTTTCATTATTTTCTCCATTATGTGAGGTTGGCTTCAAAGAACTTGAAAAATAGCTGAGAATATAGTAATTTAAAATGTAAGTCCAGAAAAAGAAAGAAGTTGAAAAATTAGGACTCAAAAGTATGACATGATGGAAAGAAGTTCCCAAAAGCATGGCAAAACTACCAACTGGAACAGAAGGTTACTTTAGGTAAACCACGATAGCAGAAGTCAAATACAGAAAGCAAAATAACACCTGACTTCAGATCAGGTTCTTCACCATCACCTAATTTCTACTCAAGCAATTTCAATGCACTCTAGAAAGACAGTAAATATTTTAAAAAGGATGAAAATAAGGCACAAAAAATGGAGGATTACTCTACAGCTCTCCCAACAGGAAACAAGCTCCACCAGTCCACCGGACCCTGACTCTTACATGCAAAAAACTCTTCGTATGTCCATCTTCTACACTGATACTGGTCTCAAGTTGTGTTTGGAACCCAAGGTTTCCAACACATCAATAGAATGTATTTGGATCATTTCAGACATAGGAAAAATCCATCCTGGAAGAAATTCAGCCAAGGACAAAAAAAAATCCAAGCAAGGCTAAAATTCAGATCCCTTTTTTAAGGGTAACAGAAGCAAATTGCTCCACATCACTACTCTTCTATTGCCTTCTCAGCTCAGATACCTCTGAACACTGAAGATACATGAGAAAAAGCAGTAAGGTGGTAAGAAATTTGTCAGTTTTCTTCAGTTGTCCAAACTGAGGTAAACATAAATTAATAGGACCAAAGGACACCACAGAGCTTCTCGTTTTTAAAGTAAGCATGGAAACAATTTGTATGATCAACATAAAAGAATATTCCCCAAAAAGGAAAAAAAAGATATAAAAAAAGAGAAATGTAAATAAAAATGCCTTTAGTTTTAACTCTACAAAGCTAAGATCACCAGTGATGCTCAGAAATATTTTCTACCTGTGAAAAGACATCTTTCCTTTCTTTAAAAGCTCTCTCTTTCCAAAAGCTGAGCAGGTACCCAAAATTTTGATGAAGTTGCTCATGCATAAAGATAAAAGTGCCTTACCAGGATCATGTGACCGGTGGAGATGTCCATGTTGGACTGGACCGGCTCCTCACACCAGGACGATGTGCTGCTCCGGGCCGAGGGGCTGGGAATGGGCCCATCGCTGAACTGAGAAGAAACGCTGTTTATTCGGGAAGAGTGGAGGGGTTCCGGGCGATCAGATGTTTTCACTGCCATGCGCTGGCGGCATAGCTCCTGGAGAGAGAGAGAGAGAGGAGGAAACAACCTACGGTTAAGAGTAATTACAGGATAGAGTCTACTAAAGACATATGATTTACAATATGTTTCCAGGGCTGGAAGTGTTTTCCCCCTCACTGCAGTAATTTTTGGGAGGCTGTCTGTTCTGTTAGGCACAGCTACAAAGAGACGCTCAATGAAATCACTACATGATGACTACCCCAACCTTTCACAAGTGCAATTATGGCTGGATGCACATCTCCCTATAGATAACCAAAAACCATATTTTGGAGCTTGACTTCTCTAACACATAGCTTTCTTTCCCCCCCCAATATCACCCTGCATTCTGCAAAGCCACTTTTGAACCGTGCAACCTCCTGAAGGTAATGGGCTTGCACGGGAGTAATTGAGAGCACTGCCTGGCCCTGGATATGCAAACTCAGCAAGCTCAAGGCAACTGAATTGATGTGCTCTCCAGTGTAAATCCTAGTTGATAGATGCCTCATTTCTCTTCATTAAAATAGCAAACTCGCAACACTTCCTCCTTGATGTGGGGCAGGGAGGATGAAGAATGACATTAACGAAGAATAAAAGCAGAAATCTGTCATTGTATTGTTTAAGCAGCTTTGGCGAAGAAAGAAAATTCAAGCTATCACACACACACTAATGCAAGTCATGTTAAAACACCGAAATAGAAAGCACTGGGAATACGTATTTTCAGTTGCTCTCATGCATAGAATTCATGCACAAATACAGAATTCTGTTTAGGTAACAGAAAATCCTGCCGGTGAAACCAAATCCTTACAGCATGAAATTCTGATTCTAACAGAATAAACAGACCCACAGTTACACCATCATGTTATAATGCTTTTAGAATCAACTAGTGTGGTGAAATCACAGGCATTAAAATAAAATTACCATTTTTTAACATATGACTATTGTCCATGAGAGATACTTGGCTGCCTGTGGCACACAGCGAGACCAGGGAGCCTACAGTATGTGGACATATTGCACACACGGTGTGGTTACACATTTGTCTCAGATTACTCATTCTTCACAGACGAGTACTAAGAGCAGAGTCTCTTGCCTCAGGCTAACAAAATAACACAGTCTGAAGAATTCATACCGTTGAAATGCCAGGGCTTTTGTTTTCTTATTCATTGATAATATAGTTGCAGTCCAAGTACCATCAGTAGGGCGATCTGAAAACCATTATTTACCAAGTGCAATAAAATCTTCTTTTCAGACAGGAGTTAGAAATACAACTTACGACTATGTTTGTTTGTTTTTTTTAAACCTAGCTAACTTCAGGACACTGAAGAGGGATCCTAATCCATGTAGCAGCAAGCATTAAAACAAACTCACTGAAACCACCACATTGAGTCTCTTCTTGTTACCACATGACAATGGTTAAAGACCCCTCCAAACATTTTTTTTCCACCAGAGCTTCTGTTTGACTTGCCATTAGAGATGCTTATGTGGAATTTTACTATTTGATGGTGTGCAGTACATTATATATATATATATGCATGTACAAACTAATATACACTGAGACAAAATATGTATCATATATAAGCAGGATATATTTTACTGTCTGTTACAAAAATACAGTCAATAGAAGCTCGGGAAGCACAGATTACTACTCGTATGTGGTGTCAGTTGTTGGAATAACAGTACAGATTGTTCTGAGTGAAACTGCTACCTGACCCCATCCCTGCATTTTGTATATTTACTAATTTTGTCTATGCCACGTAAGAATTTTTCTAATTTTTACAAAAAGTAAGGTTTTTCCACACTTGACTAGCATGTATTTTGTTGCTTGGCACCTTCGTTACTTCCTACTAACCTTAACATGAAAAATACTAGGAAAAAAATTAAACTTTAGAAATATATTGAATTGAGTCACATGTATTGATGTTAGGTCGTTTAAACTATCAGTGTTAAAAGCAAGACTTTTTAATGAAGGAAAAATGTTATTGTATTTCTTCATTTTAAATACAGGAACAAAATAAAAACCCTCTCTTTCTCCTTTTCTCTGAAGGATCACACACATCATAAGAAAAGACAGCAATAGTCCACACTGGCTATCACTAACCTCCGAATGACCTTATAGTAGAGTAGTTTCAAACCCCTGCTTTTAGCAGATTTTGGGAAAAGTATAACAGAGAGGAAACTTTTTAGACAGAAAAATAAATCTACAGAAAACCAAAAAGCTGTTCAGATGTTTAGATATCAGTCATTCTCAGAGGGAATGGTTTACTGGACTAAGGAAAAGTATAATAAGTAAAAGTATAAAAATATGAGGTCCATCACATAACTGCTAGAAGGATGTGTCTTCTGGCTAGTATGCCATGTGGCACTGATACAAATTTATTATATTCTAATAGACATCCTGCCACTTGACTCACCCCAACTCTGTGCTAACAATAGCATTTGTACTGAAACAGGATCTTTGGTTTTAGGTTGATCTGTTCCTGCTGTTCATATCCTGCCTCAAAGTCATAATCCTCTGCTTTTACAAGTGGTTACTGTGGAAAGGATTACAGATCTCTGCTAACAAAAAAGAATCAAGATCAAGTGAACTCTAAGAAATTAATATACCATTTTTACACAAATTATAATGACAAAAGAAACAATGTTATAGCAAACTGGTTCTAGAGTAGATTAACCCCTAACTAAAAAGGATTTTTTGGGCATGTTACTAAGAAATGTTGTTTTAAAATTAAGTTTATCGTGTTCGTGGTCCTTGTGGAAGAAGGTAAAGTTGAGAAACATAACAAATATAAAAAGGCTTTTTAAAAAAAAAAGTAACCTGTTCTCACATATTAACATATTTATTTCCTGACATATATAGAACCAAAACAATTATTCCCTGAACTGCTGTAACTGTCAAATACCTCAAACAAAGCAACCACGTCACTGCGCTCTGCCATAAAAAATGTTTAATGTAAACAGGAAGGTCAAATCATAGCTGAAGCAAAAACACCACTGAATTTCTTGATTGGTGTCTTAAATCTCCGTGACAATGGGTTTTCCCCTGCCGTAAACAGAAGGTTTTTGTTCAAATTTATTTCCAGATTGGTCTAACAGCCTTTGACAGCTCTTCCTTCCCCCATCCCAGCCAGTCCAGGCCTGTCTGAGGAACCTGCTCCATCCCTACACACACACCAGCAGTCTCAGGACAACTGCAGCTTCTGCTTCTCCAAAGTTACCTCTCTGTTATTCCAACCATTCCAGCTCCCAGCTGGGTTTCTAGCCTGGTGCTGTAGGGGTAACATGGTTAAGACCACCACATATAAAATCTTTGATGCATTGAGCACTTTGGGGAGCCATATGGGCTCCTCCAGGACATATGGAGTAGGGATGTCCAGCTCAAAGCGGAGAAATGTCTAAATGTGGGATTTGGGTTTGCTTCATTCTTGAGATGGTCCTCAGTGTTCCCTTCCTACAAGAGGCACTGGGAGTAGTGAGGTCTTGGCATGTGAGATATATTACACTGGGTGCTCTCAGGAACACATCATCTCTGGGCACTTACTGAGTATCTCTTCACAAATGCACAAAGCCCTAGATGGCTCAGACCCTCATTAGTACAATATCTGTTATCTGTACACTTCTCTGCTCTGCTCTCCAAAATCTTTACTCCCATAAGCATTTTGCAAATCAGCCATTTACCAAACCACAACTAGAATTCAAGCTTGACTAAAATGTCAAAGCTTCAAACTGTAAGAATGACACGAGCTGTATTTCTGTATCATCTCAGCACTTACACCATTAAAAATATTTTCTAAGAATGAATTCAATTTACTGCTGCATTTCTATATTTAGCAAAGTGGCTGAGGCTATTTCTGCTGTACTGTGACTCAGTAATGTCTAGCCATTGTTTGTGTATAGTTTGAGTGCCGTTCTTCATTTAAAAACATCATTTACACCTAAAAAAGCAACCGTAATGCACACAGTGAAAGATGAAGAAATGATCCTCCTGACCCTTCGGGCTATGATCTAATGGATGGGTTGGACGTAAACATTTATTTAAAAGGTAATTTGAAGTTTATGACATTATTTCCCGTCACATGAGAATTGCTATCGTACTGAGGCACTTACTCTGTTTTTTATTTCCCAACATTTATTATCAAACTTATGTGGTGGTCACATGCAGTATAAAATGGAAAAGTAATATCGCTGTGTGACAAAAACTGCCATAACCAAGATAAATATTCCGTAAATAATGTTGAGTTAAATGAGTTCAAAGTACAGCACAATGATCATCTGCAGTGAGCTTTTTATTTGAGACGTAATTGATAATCTGAAACAAACCATAAACAATGTACTTAGAAAAACTCTGGACCTCTTCCAATGAGGTTCTAAAATGTTCCTGATAATTGGCTGTCCACACAGAGACACGGAGAAGCACAAAACACAATTGTTTCCTCAGGTACAACAAATAGATTTTCAAATCCATATGTTCCACTTGTGAATGAACTACACTGCAGCAGAAATGTACTTTATCTACACTTAAAGAAGGGCATTAAGAGACTTGCTGTGCCTCCTGGACAAGAACACACATGGATTGGGAGCCAGTCATACCACTGTTCTGTTAGATGGGCCTGTGAACCTGAAGAGGTAAGAAACTCTCCTCTCAACCATGGAGGCATTAAGTCTGTCCAGAAATTAAGCTCACAGACACTCGTCCAGGTCTGGTTTAGAGATGAGACCTGCTTACCACCAGAAGTGTTAGGCCACCTCTCCTGGATGTGTGGCAGAAGCTGCACTTGCTGCCACTTAGCTTTGTGATGCACAGCACCCAAGTGTCACAGAAGCACGAGACAGTAAACTACAATTTAGAGAAATTTTTATCATTCATCAAGTTCAGCTAACACAGCAAGTGTCTGGAAAATCCTTTAAGACCACACAGTTTACTAAAACATTTGGTTTTAGAGAGAAATCTATGTATGTGCCTTGGTAAGGACAAAGAGCATAGGTAATCACAGAACTAAAAGCAGAGAGAACTAAGGCTTGAA